CACTGGAGAAAGAATAAATGTTTTGTCGCACTCATTTATATGTAATCGAGAATATTTGTTTGCTAATACTTGATACAGAGATTGCTTGTGACAAAAAGGATTTTTTTCTATGATTGTGACTCCGAAAATAGTATCATTTCGATTTGGACAATTTTTGTTTAAGTTTATACTTGATAAAAATTGTTTATAGTCCGCCGGTTACAGATGACTTAAAATAAGGCCATTTTAACAAATTCAGGGCCAATGACAAAGAAATTGAAAAATTCCTGTCAGCGTTATGAAGTTTGATTCACTAACAGTTGTTTCAGATTGAAGGTTTGTCTTGACACAGAGCCAATTCTGTTAAGTTCAGGGTCACTGACAGAAAAAAAAAAATTTTTTTTCCCATGCTATGAGTTAGTAAATGAAAATAATTGGAGGCTCTTACTTGAAACATAGATTACTTATGATTGGAGGTTGTGTCATGACCCTGATCAAAGGTCATTCTAGCAAATCTAGGTCACTGACAGAGAAAAAAATGTTTAAGCATAACTTTGTAATTAAAATTCACTGGAGGCTCATACTGAGAAGAAAGGTTTTTCACATAAGAAAGTGCAGTGACCTTGACCCAAGGTCGGTACTTCCTGTCCATAGCTCCAACGGAAGACCACTCGTTGCTTTGCAACGAGCTCGGCTCTAGTTTAAAGTAAGTTTGTTTTATATATACGCATGAGAAACTCTCATTTACAAGCTGAGCGAAAAGAATTACCTGTACAAATTTTAATCAAGACTAGAACAAAATAACAATTTCATAAGATCAGTAAAATGTTAAATCACAACTTTATTTTCATAAGTCACTCGAAATATTAATCGTTTTTGAGATATATAGCAAAAACTTTCAAGGGCACTAGATCCCTAATTTTAGGGGCCAGCCCCTTTTAAATGATATCAAATGAAAGCTCTTGCAATTATGCACAACTTTTATTCAACATGTCTTAACAAAATATTTTTAGTTTTCAAGATAAAAAGGAAAATATGTGTAAATTTTCGCTCATTTAGGCGTTCTATTTTTTGACCCCTATATAGCGCCATTTTGAATGCAGAAATCGAAAAACAAAAATAGATGTGCACAACTTCAATCCTTCTGTTATCCAAAACAAGTAAAATTTCTGCTTCAGCTTTTGTGGTCTCTGAGCCTTTATCCGGAAACGAAAGCCTATGATTTTTCGTTTAAAGGGAAATAACTCAAAACCGGAAGTGACTTTTTGAAATTTTAGTCATTATTCTGATAGAGTTTATAAACGTCTATAATGTCTGAAAATTTGAGCGAAATCCGTTGAGAAATGAGTGAAATATGAGGCCTCAAAGTTGGCGTCTAGGAAGTAGAAGAAAAAAAAAAGAACTAGAGCAAAGCTCGTTGCAAAGCAACGAGTAGGTCTTCCGTCCGGTTTTGACCGGAAGTGCCGGAAGTGAAGTCAACAAAAGAAAGCAATGAGCTAAAAAGTCTCCACTGACTTTATAATTTCATTTTTGCATCAAAATCTTCAAAATAAGCCATTTTTTTGCTACTTCCGGTTTGACCGGAAGTGACGACGACGGACGGAAAAATTACGTTTTATGCTTCCAGAGACATATGTAACCACAAAACTAGTCAAGAACGGCAAAAAAAACGCGTTTTCCGACTACTTCCGGTTTGGCCGGAAGTGACGACGACGGACGTATTTTGACGACACCAGTAGATAAAGCTTGACATTTTGAACAACTTTGCTTCTTTGATCTCTTACAAATTCTTAATACTTTTTGACTTATGAAAGAAAAACTTTCGGCCCCCCTAGGCCCTTAAATTTAGGGGCCAGCCCTTTTTTTTAAGATATCAGTTGAAAGATCATGAAATTTTACACTTCTTTTCTTCTATATGATTAAACAAAATGTTAACAGGTAAAAAGATATCGTAGAAAAGGTGTTAAAAATTTTGAAATTTGCGATATGTCATTTTTCGAGCCATAGCCAGCGCCGACGTACTGCACTTCCGGTAAAAACGAAAGACGTTACGCATATCTATAGACTTTGCTCTATCATACCTGAAAGTATCATGTTTCTATCTAGAGCCATTATTGAGAAAGTCTGGAGACAACCTGACCCTTTAAAATTCATAAAATCGGCAATATTTCCAAACTGGAAGTGACGTCATCAAAACGGAAAAAATTGCATAAGGTTCAAGTAATGTTACATAAGTCCTGAAAGTTTCGTTGAAATCCATCGAGCCGTTAAAATTAAATAAAATTAATTTTTATGCTCCCAGTGACAGATGTTACCCAAAAACTTTTCAAGAACGGTAAAAATACGCGTTTTTCGACTACTCCCGGTTTGGCCGGAAATGACGTCGACGAACGTATTTTGACGACTCCATTAGATTAAGCTTGACATTTTGAACAACTTTGCTTCATGGACGTATTACAAATTCTCAATACTTTTTGAGATATAAAGGAAAAACTTTCGGCCTCTGTAGACCCCTAATTTTAGGGGCCAGCCCTTTTTCCGAGATATCATTTGGAAGAACTTAAAATTCTACACTTCTTTTGATCTATATGTTTTAACAAAATATTTCCAGGTAAAAAGATATCGTAGAAAAAGTGCTTAAAATTTTGAAATTCGCGATAGGCCTATTTTCGGGCCATACCGAGCGCCGACGTGCAGCACTTCCGGTAAAAATAAAATACATTCCACAAATCTACAGACATAGGTCTACTAGACCTGAAAGTATCACGTGGCTATCTAAAGTCGTTTAGGAGAAATCGTGCGGACAAACTGACCCTTAAAAAATCAATTTTGTGCTGATAACTCCGGACCGGAAGTGACGTCATCAAAACAGAAAAAAACGCATAAGGTTCAAGTGATGTTACATAAGTCCTGAAAGTTTCATGGAAATCCATCGAGCCGTTTTCGAGAAATCGCGTGCACAAAATCGGTAAGAAAAAAAACAATAATAATAATAAAAGTGAAAAAGAAACCTAAGAATAACTAGAGCAAAGCTCGTTGCAAAGCAACGAGTAGGTCTTCCGTCCTGTTTGACCGGAAGAAGCTTTCATTTTTAACAAAAATGAGAAATAACACACAAAAATGCTTTGAATCCTCTAAAACTATGTTGATTAATGCACAAATAAGCCATTTTTGCTACTTCCGGTTTTACCGGAAGTGACGACGACGGGCAGAAAATAAATTATTATGCCCCCAGAGACACATATGATTCAAAAACTTGTCAAGAACGGCAAAAATACGCGTTTTCCGACTACTTCCGGTTTGACCGGAAGTGACGACGCCGGACGGATTTTGACGACTCCAATAGATTTAGCTTGACATTTTTAACAACTTTGCTTCTTTAACCTATTACAAATTCTCAATACTTTTTGAGATATAAAAAAAACATTTTCGGCCCCGCTAGGCCCTTTATTTTAGGGGCCAGCCCTTTTTTCGACAAATCATTTGAAAGGTCTTGAAATTCTACACTTTTTTTGTTCTATATGTTTTCACAAAATATTTCCAGGTAAAAAGATATTGTAGAAAAGTTGTTAAAAATTGTGAAATTCGCGATAGGACTATTTTCGGGCCATAGCGAGCGCCGACGTGCGGCACTTCCGATAAAAACGAAATACCTTATACATATCTATAGACTTTGGTCTATGATACCTGAAAGTTTCATGGTTCTATCTTGAGCCATTATTGAGAAAACTGCCGGACAAAATGACCCTCTAAAACTCACTAAATCGCAGAAAACTCCGAACCGGAAGTGACGTCATCAAATTAAAAAAAAAACGCCTTAAGTTCATATAATTTGTCATCAATGCTGAAAGTTTCATGAAAATCCATCGGCGCATTTACGAGAAATCGCCTGCACAAAATCGGTAAGAATAATAATAAGAAAAGTTGAAAAGAAACAGCAGAATAATAAGAAGGTCTTCCGTTGAAACGGAAGACCTTAACAAGAAGGTCTTCAGCTGAAGACGAAAGACCTTAATAAAAGTGAAAAAGAAACCTAAGAATAACAAGAAGGTCTTCCGCTGAAGACGGAAGACCTTAATAATAATCTTTACCAACAGAATCAGTAGAAGGTCTTCCGTTGGAAACGGAAGACCTTAAAAAAAAGAATAATAACAGTGAAAAAGAAACAATAGAATAATAGTAGGGTCTTCCGTTGAGACGGAAGACCCTAATAATCTTTACCAACAGAATCAGTAGAAGGTCTTCCGTTGGAAACGGAAGACCTTAAATATTCTATAAAAATGTTTTTGCTAGAACAGGTAGAACATGCAGTCCGGAATCATACATATTGTTCAAAAAGAAACTGAAGGCATACTATATCTATTTTTCAAGCAAACATGTGATTATTCCTTTTTCATGTTGTTATAACTTGTGAATTAAAAATGTTATTCATGTATGAACGGTTCGATTCTATCAAACCCACTCCCATTGGATCCGCCAATGAAATAAATTGCTTTATTGGAACTCTTCATCATGAGGAGATACAAAAAAAATCGTTACTGGAAGTTTTCCCGAAGTCAGTGTTTATGAATTATGTAGGTAAATAAAAGTTATAACTTATATTAATGATATTATTCACTTGTCTTTAATTATCTTAGTTGATGAGTGATATTGATTTTAAACATGCTAATGGATACAGGGGTTTATTTATAGTAGGCCAATAGATTAACACTTCAAAATAAAGCTCCCCTTTTGAAAAAAAACAAAACTTTTTCTCATGTGTTTGTTAGTGAAAATAACGTAATTATTACTTATTAAACATTAAGACTTATAGAACACTTAAAAATTATACGAGTTAATTTTAGAAGTGACTCCAAGGTCTGCTGTCAGAATGCAGTATTACAATAATTCTTCATCTCTGGATATGTTCATAGCTCCATGCAGTCCAACCTAGCACTCTGACACTGATGCCGAGATTCTCTTCTTTTATGTAAAGACTGAAAAGGGTAGTCCAGTGAGTAAAACATGTATTTCTTTGTTTATTTTGTAGATAAACAGATATGTCGTCTAATGAACATGAACCGATGAAAAAGAAATCTCGGAGAGGGAAAGCCAAGGATCCTACACTAACAGAGGATAAAAATCCGAACTTGGTAAATTTTTAATCCACCCTTGTATTCTAAAAGATTTCCCATGTAAGTATGTATTATCGTTTGCAGCTAACTGTAAAGTTTCACGTTACGTAACGAACTAGTTGACAGCTGCACTGGAGGTAAATTGTACACGCCTCCTAAACCGCAAGCTTTACGACTAGAACGTTCTTCTTATCCCTGATTGGTTGCTCATGCAACAGACTATTTCCGTGTCAATGTTGATAATTTGAGTCGACCAATCAAGTGAATTGTTTAAGCTGGATGCATATGACGAAAAAGATCACGACGAAATGGAAACTTTACAGTTAGCTGCAAACAATAATAAATGACAAAATCATAAGTCTGCAAGTTCAGTTTTATTCTACACGTAAAGAGGGGTATAGACTATATAAAGAATTTTTGTCATTTACAAACTAAACTTGGGGAGCGACTATGCCAAAAGCAAGGATTTGGAAGTCAATTATACATGTACATGTGATATGTACCGGCTGTACAGGAAATATCCTGTATATTTTACTCCCATCATGGTTTCCCGGCTGTACACCAAAATTCACGGGAAATGAAAATGTGTACCATATTTTGAAATGTTTACCAGAAATCACCATTTTTCTTTCATTCCCTCTCTCGCAACGCATGAAATCTCGAACTATGCGTGACTTACTGTGCTTGATTAATGTAAACAAAACATCATGAACCAATGTGTGAAATATTCCCGTGATAATAACATAGTAATTAGCTAGGAGATATCAAAGCATTTTGTTTGGCTGATTGCTTTTTTATACGACCTTTATCAAGGAATTTTTAAATTATAATTTATTAAAACTAAAGACGTTTCAGAGAAAATCCCATTCACAAGAATTGGAGACACTTTGTGGCAGCAAAACGAAAGTCTAGAGTCTTTAGTCCATTATTTGATTAGGCCTACGTAATGTCTTTTCAAACACAGATTAAGAGAAATGTTTAAAAATTGCAGCTGAATGGAAACGACCAGACTCGAATAAACTGTTTTTAAACACTGTCCTTTTTAAGTTCAGCATTTAGCATAGTTTAATGCCAAAATTCAAAATTCTTCAAGAGTTTCTTGCAATGAATAATAAATCATAATACATGTAAAGCAGTGGTGCACCTGTACATTGAATTGAAATTTATTATTAAGAAAAGCACCTTACATTTTTTTTTTTGGTCGAAATTTTGTACCGTTTTTTGTTCCATTTTTTGATTAGCAATGTACAGTATTTTCACCCAAATTCCAGTATTTTGAAGGCTGCTGTACAGTATCTGGGTCTAGAAATTATCACATGTATGCAATTACTTGAGAGTGTTTTTAGTGACATTGAGGGTCACATCAGAGGACAAATTCTATCAACCAATCAAATCGTTGCCTGCAAAACAATTGTATATTGTTTATGCAAATGAGTCTAAAGCTGTTCTGAAGTTGGCCACTAGTATGTGGGTGGATCTAACATCTAATTTCAATTAGATTGCAGTCAGGTGCTCTTCCATTTGAGTTATCCAGACTGTTATCCACAGCCCAAACCAGTACAGTACAGCTGTAAATACTTTGATAAGATTAAAATAAAAGTATTACTAAAAATAGTGACTTAACTAAAATATCTAATCTTTTGATTAATTCCAAACTTATCTATATATGAATCATTAACTTTTCGGGTGTCTATTAGTGCCTTGATTTATAGATTTGCTAATTTGCAAGGGGATGCCCTGCATCTCAGAATTGCAGAGTCTTTGTTTTTCTTTTAATTTGCATTTTTCTGTTTTCTTGAAGAATTTGGAAACTGAAGCCATAAATTCACCGGACTCACCCCTGAGAAAGAAACACACATCATCTTCTTTATCAACTTATTCTTCATCATGCTTATTGTCTGAACCTGGAGAGGATGTAGAATCAAGTGTCTTCAATAGTCCACCATCAAGTGAGGATGAAAGAAAATATCCAGCAAGTCACTGGGGTTATAAAGATCTGGCATACATAAATATCTACTATGAAAGTGAACCAGAGACTTTAGACAAATTTTTCAAAGATGTTAAAGATGCTTTTATCAAAGAAAAAGGTTTCTGTCCGGACATAAGCAAAATAAGTGACATTTTGAAGAAAGAAGTTGAAGAAGTGTTGACATTTTCTTATGACTTGATGGAAATTAAAAATGTTCGCAAATTGGATCATAAAGAAAAGACTGTAATGAAAGTAAAGCAAGAAATGAAAGAAATCGCAGAAAGAGCTAACATGAGGGAAATGCCAGTAATCTCAGATGAAAAGTAAGTTATCAATTTCTGCATCTGTCTGTCTGTCCATCTATTTTCAATTGATTTCTGATGAAGAAAAACTTACTCAATTTTACCAAATTTGTCACATATAACATCCTTGGGTAAAAAAGGGATTGTAATTTGTTAAAATTGAGAACCAGTTCCCTTTCTGTGAGGATATAATCAAGAAAAAGCAAATTTAGGGTGGGATCCTTATTAACATTTTTTTTCGAAAGAACAACTCAGCTAGAAGAGGTCAGACCTATATATGGAGCATCCCGAGGATGTGTAGATTGTAAATTGTTCAAATCATGACCTCTGGGCTTATTTAACCTAGAGGTCATATATTTATGGTGATCGAGGGGCCAAAATAGGAGGATAAAAATTTTGCATTTAACATGTTTAAATATTAAAGAAAAATTCCGTTGGAACAACAGGCAAAAGAAGAGAAAAAGGAACTTAAGCATGAAAGCTTCCTGAGTAAGTGTAGATTCTACATTGTTCAAATCCTAGCTCCCTGGTAAAGTCCTTTATTACAAGGACAAAGCTTCAGTATCATCAGAGACTTCTGGTTAAGTTGCCCACATGGCGCACGGGTTAGAGCGTCTGTTCTAGAGTTGCGAAGTAAGGAGTTGATTGACTTGATTCTTACATCGCAGGTTGGAATCCCACTGTGGGACGTGGAGACTGGTCCTAGGGATAAGACTGTATAAACCGAGGTCCCGTGTCGCAGTAGGTGCTGCCACAAAAAAATTCCCTCAATGGCCCTGAGTGCGAAGTATAGGAAAAAATTTGGCAAGTGGTGGTGTCTCCATATGAGTGAAAAATCCTTGAGATGGACGTTAAACAACATACAATCAATCTTATCAGAAATCATTATGAATCGTAAATTAAATGATTTTAGTGAGGAAAAGTAATGTTTCTTTTCATTTTAATTTTTCAGAGTATTTGGACCATCTTTAAAGAAATTTGTACAAAAGGCTGTGGTAATGATGGATTCAACTATAATTGATTTTGCAAAAGAGACAAGTTGTCTAGTAAGAA